ACCAATCTCGCCATGGGTATATACGGAGGAAGTTTGAGTATATTAATATCTATATATATGATTGTTTTGTACTTGAATTGGTTAGATTAGTTAAATTTCAGGTTTCTACACCGTACCGGGGTTTCCCAGTCACATAACATCACTCGAAACGCAAACTCAACCCTAGCCCTTGGTAGTTACTAGCTACATGTAGTCCACCAAACAGGGTTTCTCCCAGCTGCAGTCTCATAGCACATGTAACTGTCTGTAAGATATTTCCTAACCCTCCTTCTTTCTATATACCGGAGGGGCTGAGATATCATATCTCCGCTTAGCATTGTCGGGGCCGCGGGCTCGGGGGGCAACTATCGGAGCTCGGATTTACGGACGTGGCCGGTCTCTCACCTTCATGAAGATAGGAAGTCCTCTTACAGCGGACAGCAGGTCCACGGACGTAAAAATGTAAACGCCTTCTCCACCGAACTCTTACTAGTTGCACCCAGTGGCCCTTTATTGATCCGTACACTGGCCTGTCTCGTCGTTAGTGTTTGGGGGTGCCTTCGTGTAGGGAAGACATACGGCGGAGCTTGGGGAAGAGGCCCGCACCTTGTGCCATTAAACAGCCTCTATAGACTTGCACGACTTGTACTTACCATGAATATTGAGCAAAGGTCTAGAGAACTAGAATTGGGATACATTGTTAGTAAATTATAGCGCTTCATAGAGAGTTAATTCCCCTCAAGCCCATATCTAGGATGGTGGTGTGTATGGGGCGAATTTTGGTGAAAGAGGAGATTTGAGAGGGATGTGGGATAGTTGACCGAGGGGCTTGACGGGAATGACTAGAACGCCTTGATGTAATCCCCCAAGATGCCCAATATTCTCTGTTGAAATAGTCATTGGCAACTCATTTGTGGGTCGGTCTGTAAAGAGTTTGTTGTCCTGTCTTACTGTCCTCTCTTGCTGTCCTGCTTTTTAGTTGGCCTAGCTACGGCCTTTCTCTTCCTTTTACTTGCAATACACTTAATATCATCCTCATTCATCACGATATAATAACAAACTCTGCATAGACCACCCTCAGATCCATCTTCTCCTCGCACGTTGACCAGGGAGATAAAGAATCTGGCGGAGAAACCCAGTGGGCCTCTCATCTGGAGATGGGGAAGCCTTCTTACCTGTAATTCGTTGATCTGTGGAAGTCAAGACGTGAGATACATTTCTTCCCCGCTTCATCAAACCCAGCTATCTAACCTCACCCCGCATCAACACATATACTAGCCCAACTACGCCATTGGATGTCTACACCCGCATCAACACTTAAAGCGTCTTGATCTCCACACAAGAAGTCCACTGGCAAGGTTCTGGAAGATGAAATCTACATCTAACGCCCAGCAGCCAACTTCTATAGATCTACATACCTGGCATGCACTTACCTTCCTTGTCGAGTACAATACTTGAAGAGCACTAGGGATGAACTTTTAGTACGCAGACCACAGGGCCTTGTGAGGGGTGATTCTCCTCGGGCTCGTAGTGGTGCGGGGTTTGCTGTACAAAGCCCATTAAAAATATGCGGATACTGTCGAATACTTGGATAAGGACGCTGGCTAGAACAGCTGTGCATTGGTGTTGGAGCTTCACATGTTTAGGGTGAGGCTTGTATGGAGAGGAATGAACATCATCTTCCTTAGTTGGAGGTGTGAAGATAGTGGGAAGTGATTGCACTCCATTCTCAGGCGTGTGTGAAGGGTATGCAGAGAATGGCGAAATGGGCAAAGCGTAGTTACAGTAGGATGGGTCATCAACATCCCTCACAAACCTTAATCCGTCCAGCCAGCCGGGCACTAAAGCTCTCCAGGTGCGCCGATCCATCGCACCACCAATTGCAAAGAAAGACGTAAGATAAATAAAAAAAAAACGCATCTAACTTACGGTCTCCATCACAGCACCCTACCACCTGGGGAGGCCGGAGGTCAAAACACCGCAACAACTCATCTCACGACCTCCCTCGGAGCCAATAACTACAGGCAAAACTACATCTGTAATGCAATACCCGCTATCCGGATCTAAATCCACCGACCGGTAAGATACCAGAACCCACGAAAACGATGAAGATGCAAACCCCGCACTATGTATTTCGACAAAGTTTTCAAGATGAGGGATTCTTTCTTGCCTGACTGAGCTAACACAGGCAGCAGCAGCGGGGTTGGTCGTGGTATCATATCCTATTCGTGAATAGGCAGAGGAATCGTCGTATGCCGGATAAGAAACGTACATGCATGGTACATGCACATATGCCATGCGAGGATCACCCGCTTAGAGTGTGTTTGTCGTGTTTGAGGAGCTTGAGTCATGATATTGATATCATGTATCTCTCTATCTCATGTGGCTTGTGAAAGCCCAAGACCTTGCTATCTTACGAAACAACTCGGGACGCTGAAGAGCCCGGCTGGAGGTTACGATGCCGTGTAAACAATCCAACTACCCACGGCTAAAGCACGTTCTCGATGAACAACCCGCTACAAGCAAGGCCGTCTTACACATGAAGATCTCCACGACAGCCAGTTCACAACAACGGCACTTCACAACCCATCACTCGCCAAACCATCCATACCTCAGTACCTAGCCCAGTGAGGGTCGCTTACATAACAGCTCACGACATGTATGCAGTTAGTTACCGCCTCAACCGCACACCACCGGCGCTAACAACACTTCTCCCCACAAATCAAACCTCGGCCCCAGAAAGCAGGCTGGGTGGGACTCGGAAGGGTAGCGGTGGGTTAGGTGTTCCCTGTCAACTATCCACAGCAGCCCAGACGAGGCCAGGCCCGTGCGTCTATCAATCTGTCTGGTTCCCCGCCGGTGCCGATGCATTCACTGAGAACCCATCCCCCACAGAAACGTAGGGCCATGGCACGCATAAAACACCAACCTTCTTTTGCCAGACTCCAGACTGCACATTCCAGACTGCACACTCCAGACTCTCGACTCCAGACTCGACTCTAGACAAAAAACAAAAGGTACCTCTACACCCAGACTTTCCAACAAACCAAGATGCGCAATCGCTCCAGAACCGCATCTCCAGACATTTAGAGAATCCAGCCCTGAACCACCAAATTAACGCAACCCACACACCTGCCCACCTGCACACCTCCACACCGCCTACACACCAGTCCCACACGTGACTGTTCTGGCAGTAAAACAAAAAAACGGGGGGCCGAGAGCCTAATCCTAATAAATTTGCACCTAATAATTGAGTGGTAAAATCCGTGGTCGAGAATTTTTAGCGAGTGTTGCTCCGAAATTGCGACAGAGATGATCGTCCCCCTACACCCAGCAGAATTGTGAATGGCCAAGGCTGTCAAATTGGGGTTTGCCAAGAACACCCTATTAGCGTTGCTAGGGTCGAGAACTACTAGTGAATAGTGAATAGTGAATAGGAGAGCTCTGGGGCTCTGAGGCTCTGAGGCTCTGGTGGGTCGGGGTGCATGAGGATTTTAAAGTCAATGATTCGGAGACTTGAGGGCTAGAATTTAGAGTTTCTGTCGGCTCGCTTGAGAGCTTTCTGCTCGCTTGAGGTGTCTGCTCGGTTCATCCTGCTGTAAACTTAAGGTTAGGTTTGGCTAACGATGGCTGCTTGCACATCAATCACAATTCCGAAAATGTCACGTTTTGATCAATTGAGGCACCGGTTTTGTAATGGCAAACAAATATAAAGCTTGATTTGTAAAACATATGCAGCTAATAGTTCCATGGGTACAACAAATATACAGATTTTATAATCCCTCAATCTCATGCCCATAAAAAATGCTCCCAAAAAACGCCAAACCAAGAAGTGAAAATAAATGTAAAAAAATAAACTTTTGCCGAAACAAAAAAGAAGTCCTCACCAAGAATGAAGCAGCACATCCCCAAGCACTGCTCTGTGGTCGCTGGCATAAACGCCATCGTCAAATCGACTCTCCAGCACGCCATAGTCCTCCACCGTCCATGGCGCATCCCCCATCATCACCCCTCCTCTCTCAATCTTTTTCCCCATCCCGCCCAAAAAGAGGAAATCGATCCTCTTCGGTCCCACATCCTCCTCGTACCCAAACCCCGTGAATGTGTTCTTGTGCCCATATCTCGACCGCCCATCCACATAATCCCTCAAGTCCGACACGGGTGATCCCGCGGCATTCAGCACCGTGTAAGCCTCCTCGTTCGGCTCGGAGTTGAAATCCCCCGCAAGGAAGGTGGGGAAGGCCGCCTTCTGAACTTGCGCAATAATCATTTTTGCTGCGTTTGTACGCGAGACCGAGCCCTGGTCGTCGAGATGGGTGTTCATGGCCATCACCGAGGTGCCCGTCTCATGGTTTGTAAACTCGCCAATGGTCAGGATGCGGATACTCGCTGCATCCCAGCTCTTTGACGGCACCGTTGGTGTCTCAGACAGCCAAATTGTTTTCCAGAAATTGAGCCGCCAGACCTTGGGACGGTAGAGGATGGGCGCGTATTCGCCGGCCTCGGCACCGTCGTCCCGGCCGACCCCTATGTACGCCCACTCACCGGGAGTGGTGGCGTTGAGGGAGCCGAGAATGTCGAGGAGCTGCGAGTGGAGGACTTCTTGCAGGCAAATGAATGAGGCAGGAATGTAGCGGGTGTGCAGCTTGAGCGAGTTGACCACGTATGGGAGTCGAACAGGCCACTTTTCCTCACCACGGAATGGGCTGGTGGTGGCATAACGGATGTTGTGGGTGATAAGACGGATTGGCACGTCTGAGGAAGAAGTCCCTGATATTTGCATATTGCGAATCTGACAAATGGATAATGTAGTTCGGTGCAGTGTGGTGGAGGATTGTTTGTTGTTTGGGGCGGGGGGGAGGGTTGTTGTGAATTATGGAGGGATATATAGGTATGGTGGTTGTTGAGTAATTTAACAACCGATACGGATCCGAATAAATGAGTGTTTTCCACCATCCATGGGCCAAGCTTTTACTTGGACTGTCAAAAAAGTGTTACAGTTACAATAAACATTGCTTCAATCATCGGAATCCTCCAACTCTGTAGTAGAGATGTCTGGATTTCTCGAGAGCCTCCTCTTGTAACTTCATCCTGGCCTCAGTCTTCTTGAATGCTTTGCGTTCAAGGTGCTTATCCGGGGTGCATGCGAGAATAAATAATCCGAAGATAGACATTTTTATTGGGTGGTTGAGTGTTTGCTGGGGAATTATAATTGTTTGTAGTTTGAATTGTTTGCAATTGATCTGGCGGATGGCTGATGATGAGTGTGGGGATGTGAAGTTGAGAATGGAACTCGGGGGAGGGTATATGGCATTTATGGATTCTTCTTCTTCCAGGTCCCTCTATGAGAATAAGCTTGAATCGGATATGTAATACGATTCGAGAGTCGCATATCCGGCGGGGGCGCGCGGACCAACGGTGTTGGATGGGCCGAAAGCGGTCGCGGTCGGGGTTAACTAACAAATCATGCACGATTGATAATTGACGATCCAATGGATACGGCCTTCAAACAACCCAACCTCCATTCTGCGCATGTTTCTGCACTATTCCCCCTCTCTTCTAACTTCCCCACTTCTTTCTTTTCCCCACTTCACAAGAAGAAGTCTATCGGTCAATGTTGAAGTCTCAAACGACGCAGGGCGTCCAGAGCCTCAGGCACAAAATCATCACAACGCTGCTAACGGGGGGCTTGTAGACCACTGGATTCTGATGAATCTCCAATCTCTTCGTGTTCTTTTCTTTTTTTTTCGAGGCCCTCAGCACAGCCGGAGGTGTTTGGCATCCAACTTTTCCCCAATGGCCTAGAATCCCGAGATGATACTCTATCTCCAAAAGGTATGGTGGTGTGGGCCCTGAACACGATTCAGACCACCCTGTGCAACGTGCAGACACACGATCTTTGGGCTAGACGCACCCTGACGTGGGTTGTGTTGGCCAGCCAAAGAACTGCCTAGGTCGACGACTCGAGGGACTAAGCGAAGAAGACGCCAGGCGCATCCTGGGCACACACCGTACGCGGTCGGAACATCGAAGCGGAAGATGCTGCTTTGGATCAATTGTCCAATGTCCAAGAAAATATCTGGATGTTTCACCATGCAGTCATATTTAGAAGAGCGACCTGGGGGCAATGAAAAAAATAGTAAAGTCCCCAGATACACTACTCGTAGGTAGAGAGCAATGGGCACCACTGATGTCATGACTCAATATTCCTCTTCCGAAGAGAGTTCTGTGCGCACAAAATCACTCCCAAAACAGTACTCAGCATACGGTTGCTTATCCCTTCGTCTGTATTCAGGACTTGTGGCAATTCGTGGCTCACCGCGCAAAATCCACAGACTAGCTGGAAGCATCAGTCGGCGGTGCAAAACTGACCCACTTGTCACGCAAAATTGGCCTAAAAAGTAGTGGTGTATACCACCTATCGTTAAAATTGTGTCTATCACCACGCCGTTTCTTCGGCAAAAAGTTGTGAATCGCGGGAACAGACGAAGGGATGTGCTTTAAACATCGTGACTGCTGCAAAGGCCACCTGGAGCCTATGGAACAACACCCATTCGTGCCTAAATAGATATGTAAGCCATCGAGAATATGCCATGCACATTAATCAGGATTTTTCCCTCATCCCGAATGGATTATCTTCTTCAACTTAGCCGAAACGCCCGAATAACGGTTTAGGGTTCGGAGTTTACGCTGGTTGGTTGCCGGGCCCGACCGTTTTATTTGTATCGATCATGGTTTATCATTCGGCGCATTCGACGCGCAGATATATCATGAATTGTGCCCTGAATTATGCCCTGGAGCGTCTCCAAACCACAGATGACGACAAGGTCCAGGTGCCTGCTTTTGTGGGGGCCAGTAAAAGCCTTTGTGCGTAGTAATTCGTATTCAGGTGCGTACAGTACGTATGAATTGTACAGTATAAACAGCCTACCAAAGCTACAGGCCCAATCGTAGCATTCTTCCAGAAGCCTCATAGAGCCTCCCTCGAGTCTATTACCTGGTACCAGGTGCCTGGGTGGTACTACGAAAAGAATAAGATTGGGCCAGTATCTGCCCAAATGCTGGTACCGATCTGCGAGGCTGAGCCTTTGTGCCCGAATGGAGGCCCTTATTCAAAACGTTAGTCCTGCCTTGTACATTGCAACGGTTCCAAATGGAGCACTAATGTGCATCTTTTCGTCTGATGTTCTTACAGGATAGTTCCAACCCCCTTGTTCCAAATTCCCCGATTTGCTCCCCCTCACTCCATCTCTCTACACAGCCCTCCTTTATCGTATGGTCAGTCGCTGAGGCTCTTCGGATGCTCCTCCGGTCCCTTCTCGTGGTACTGTTGTTCGTGCATCTGGTGATGAATGACAGTGGATCTGAAAATAAGAAGAAAATATAATATCAGGAATTGTTATATAATAAAATATCTGGTCTTGCGTCATCCTAAGCACCGTGGCTACGAAGCCTTGGCTAGCAAGTGATACAGGCAGCTACTAAGCTGGACACATACAGGTACGAGAACTTCTCTACAACACTGTGGAATATGAAACACAAGAGTTCTGAAAACACGCACAGGATCGGAACTATAGCTATACCACAGCCTCTACGCGCACACAGCGCGGATTCCGACAGGCTTGCTGTACGCCGTCTGTCTACGTACAACATCGATATCGAAGCTGCAAATACAACAAAAGTTTATTCACGGCTGTTCTGTTACACCGTCGTCTGGACCGATCCAGGCAGACTCATCCCTACCGTTTTTCTTTTTCCAAGTCTACTGATGTCCATCAGCACCCCTGCAGCTGCAGTGGAAAAAGATTTCCCCCGACGGTGGATTCTATTTTATGCTTTTTGAGGCTCTCGTCACAAATTTCTCGAATCATGGTTTCTGGGTGCGCCAAGAGTACACTTCAGTGTCTTACAAACGTGCAGTACCGAGAAACGTCAGAACGTCACGGGGTATTGGCGGATACTGGGTGATGGCGGACAGGGCAAAAAAGAGACAGCCAAGCCAACTTTTACCTACAATTCGCCAATACCCAGTATCCGCCAATACCCAGTATCCGCCAATACCCCGTGAACGACAGTACCAAGGTTACCTCTTTAGTCAGGTAGTTCCAGTGTGCGCAGTAAATAATTATTTGACAGGTACTGTCATTCACGGGGTATTGACGGACACTGGGTGTTGACGGACAAGCCAAAAAAGAGACAGCCAAGCCAAGTTTTGCCTGCAATCCGTCAACACCCAGTATCCGCCAATACCCCGTGAATGACAGTACGTCTGTTTCTCTTCATAAGCACAGGTAAATACAGCTACACAGCTTGTAGCATAAAAACGCGTAGTGGTGCACGTGCACGCCAACTGTTTGACAATCGATTTGGAATGTTGTACTGACGGACACCGGTACATGCAAAATCACAACAATAGCAGCAGCAGCAGCAGCAGCACTGCTTCAAACCAGACACTGCAACTAATGCCCTCCCATGAGAGGGTGAGTTCAAGTTCTAGCTTCGAACCATAAATTATGGCGCAATAAAGGGACAACATGAAAAAAAAAAAAGATGAAAAAAACGCCTACTGGAGCCGAACATCTAGCTGCACTGCATTAGATTAATGCTATTGTGGCGATAATAGAGAGGGAGGGGATGAAGCTGCTGAATCTGCCGACACCTACCATTATGCGCCCACTACGTCTTTGTCACCGCTACGCTGGCAGTTTCACAATGGGATTGATATCTAGCTAGCTAGCTAGCGACCTTCCATTGTATGTACGTGAAGCACAGCATTGTGCAAGTACAATAATGTAAGGAACCGGTCTTCGAGAGTGAAAAGTCGCTGCATCATGGAAGGTTCATGTTCTGTTTTTGCTCAAGATCGACGCATAGGCGCATATCGCGATTCAAAACTAGCCTAAGACAGCATCGACAGGGTGGGGAAATTTTTTATTTTTTTGCACAGCCTCTATTATTTTCAGCCGCCATTGGAGGACGATGACCTCGGATCAGAGAGGGAACCCTATGGTGGAGAGGTACACGTTTACGTCGCGTTGATCATTGCAGACAGAGCTCGAGGGTGCTGGGGGTCCGGCCCTCAAATATCAACAAATACAATGGAGCGAGGTCTCTATTGTTATCTATTATTACACTCGCCAAACAAAACGCAACGAAAAAGTTCGGATAAACTATTAACTGGAGAGTTTGGGGCATCGGAAACATTCTAGCCCTGGTTGAAACAACCCGACGTCCAACCATCGATACGGTAACAATCTTCATTACCATAGACTGAGCTCAGTGCATCTGAAACAGAGCCTGCTTTCATAATGCAGGTACCTCATAGGCTGCATATCGACTTTGCTTTTTTACTTTTTTCTCAGTGATATGCACATAGGTATGCAGTCAGCACGGTAGTTCATGTCTTTAAACAAAGTCCAAACAAATGTTTATCCACGACCACCAGAGAAGGACTTTTTTCCCAGTTGCAACCACAAGGCATATCAGTACTTAGGAACTTTGATCCGGCTTAATTAACGTACGATTCTAATTCCATGCCAAGCAGTTCCATCAACCAACGTATTCCTGCATTTCGTGGCTTTGTAGTGGTCACCTTAGTATATCAATCTCAGCTGGAGTCGGATTTTCGGGCTAGCGGGGAACGAACACTGACATTAGACAGAGCAAGAGAAGAATTTTTCTGTCTGGGATTTGTGCTGTAACTGCCTTCGGTATCTCCTTGATACATGTTTTATACTTGTGCGCGCCAGAAGAGAAATCGGGCCAGCCAAGTCATGACATATCACCCGCACCAGGGGTCCATACTACCGAAATCACCTTTCTCGAAAAACGAAGGTGGGACACTGCGAAGTACGTCCTTTATCCTGCCTCAATGAGCAGAATTACAACACTTACTAAATTTACCCTTTCTTGGAAGTCCTTTGTTGCCATCATGAGTGCTCTCCATAGATAGTACTATTAATGCAAGCCTTTGGCCATGGCTAATAGGTAAAAGCGTCGACCTAGATGGGGCTAAATGATATTCCCCAAGGGCATCCAGCATCTGGAACCAAATTCTAACTTGTATAATGGCGAGGCCCCCTCCAAAACCCCCAAAGAAAGCAAAAAGGCAGAATCCATGTTTCAGTGATATCCCCTTACAAGACATAAAACAGCTGCGACTAGTTAGTCAGTACACAGCCATACCGTCTCTCTCCTGGCACTCCAGTTTTAATGACCGAAGATGTGTTGTACTAAATTTACCCTGTTCTCGGTATAGTGGGCGCTCTCCATAGATAGTGCTATTAATGCAAGCCCATGGTCAATAGATGAAACCGTCGACCTGGGCTAAATGATACTCCACATTGTAAGGAAAGCATCTGAGCAAAAATCATGGTTTACATAATTCGAGGCTCTCTCCAAAAATCCTCAAAGAAAGAAAGAGGCAGAATCCTCGTTTCAGCGATATCTCCTTACGAGACATAAAATCTCCTTACGGGACATAAAACGGCTGCGACTAGTTAGTTAGTACCTACTCAGTCATACCATCTCTTTCCTGGCACTCCAGTCTTAAGGCCCGAAGATGTGTTGTCATGCGAACTCAACTTCTGAAGCTGGTTGCAAAAATCCTCCTATCTCCCCGAAAGCTAAATTAGGTTAATAGGCACAAGTTGTAATTGCTTTTTAAGCCTGGAACCGTTTTTTTCTTGTTCCTGTCTGCCCCACGTCTGGACTAGCGGGACATATGTCGTCATTGGCGTGCCACTGCAAGTTTTCAGCTCCAAACATTTCATCTTTTGGTAGTTATTACCAATCTTGAATTCTGCTTTGTTCAAATTTGGTCATAGGATTCTTTGCGAGACTACTACGTATTTTCAGCTCTCCACGCGCAGTCGGGAATGAGACAATACAATAGAGTAATTATTGACGATGCTTTTTTCTGTTGAGGTTGCGATACAAACTGGGTGCGAAAATTTCTTCACACCCAAAGTCAAGAGTTACGAAAAAGGCAATAGGTGACTTCGAATCCAACCAACTGTAGCATCGCAGCTAGAGATCAAGAAACTCGTAGCGGATTCAGGTCCTATACCTTTTTGTGTGCTGTACTCAAGAGTCGAAGGGAGGCAGAAGAAGAAGTTTCGTGTGCCTGCCAGACACTTCGAGAATTTTTTTAAAGTAAAAAAAAAAAAAAAAAAAAAAAAAAAAAAAAAAGCTTGATTGGCCTAAGCCACAACATGACAGCTAAAGTTTGCGCCAAAAAAGCTTAATTACTCTTGGCACTAGCTAGAGCTACTCCTGCCTGCATACACTGTTCTGCGTATTGTGTAGCACGTCACTCAGAAGGATGGAATATCAATGTCAACGTCGGTGTCATGTATAGGCTTGTAGTTGTGAAAGGGTATATTTTGGTGTGTTTCAATTGCGAGGTCTTTGTCCCCGGCTTCTGCGTTATGGTAGCGGCCTAGTCTCAATTTGTCCCAACGCCGCTCCGTATTCTAGCTGACCGCTGGCTGGTACGTACCTGATCTTCGAAATTCCTCCTTGTATATATTTAAATTCAATTGCTAGCCAGTGCCCTTTTCAGTCGGTGTGACAAACGTTCTCTAGAATAACTAGACCGCAATTCAATTCGTCAGGAGAGTTTGAGCAGGAGAGTTTGAGCAGGAGAGTTTGAGCAGGAGAGTTTGAGCAGGAGAGTTTGAGCAGTACCGTAATCATTCTCAAATTGGGAGCTTATCTGTAGGCTAGCTCAAGGACAGGTAACCAACTACATATCAATCGTAGACAACGGGACTCTAAGAAGAGGACAGGAACACACCAACTAGCTAGCTGTATATCGGGCAAGAGAGACTGCACTACCCCTCTTGTCAACCAATCAAGTCTACTATCTTCGAGAAATTTACTTTATTTGCATGGATATGATACAGCCCACTATTATTTACGTAGATACTTGCCCTCAAAGTATTTAATAACCAAATATAAAATGGATTGCCCTCACCGGCCGGCGCGTGTAAATATTCTGCTATGGCCTGCATGCATCTGGTATCGCGAGTATCAATTCCACTTATTCGGCGGTAAATATGGCACAGCAGGTCTTGTACGTTACGTAGCTGACAATCGTCTAGTCCATTAAATACCACAAAAGACTAACTGCCATTGCAATTGGTTGGTCTTTGTAATATTCTCATAAGCAGGCAGGCGAACCACCAATTCTACAGCTACGGCCATCTGACGATTCTACACAATTGTTTGCGCTCCTCGCCTATAATCGATCCCAAGCAAATTATCGTTTCCCCATAAGGCGCTGTCACACCAGGCAGCTCAGATGTTTCCGCATGCACGCAGGGGCAATCCCTGCAGGCTGACAAAATACCGAGGAATCTCCAAGTCGTGATGCAACCGTACTACGTAGCACATTCACCACTACCTTGGCCAGCTATATAAAAACCGACTGTTTCCAGAAACACAGCTCGTCGCCCAACGCCAATTCCTCTCTCCACTACTACAGCTAGCTACCGATACCGGCGCAAAGCAGGAGCAGAGCCAAACCAGGATGGACCCCATAACCGTCATCCGTTATGCCTTCCTCTTCAATTCCGCTGCCGTAAGAAGCCCAGCTACCACTGCTAAAGCCAAAGACCAAAAACCTACAATTAACACGCATATATAGACAATCCTCGCAAAATACACCCCCGCCCTCAGCCGGCGCTTCATTGCCTACGGCGTCTCCGCCGAACCCATCCCCGAAGGCTACAAAGAAAAGCGGCCCCCGCCCTCCGACACCCCCGTCTCGCGGTTTCTCGACGCCGCGGCCGAGGCCAAGACGCCTCACAGCTGGTTCACGCACTTCTACTACGTCTGTTTCGCCTGCAACCTTTTCTGGGCGTGGCAGATCGTCACGCACGGGAGTGTATACCAGCTACTGAGCAGCTACATCACGCCGCCGGTGGCAGCAACAGTCAGTGAGAGCGGGAGGAAGGCGGTGGTGGGGCAGACGATACACCAGGTGGTGCTCACGTGGTTGTGCTTCATGATTCAGGCGTCGAGGAGGATATATGAGTGTCTGTATATCCAGAAGCCGGGGGCATCAAAGATGTGGGTGGGGCATTATGCGATTGGGATATGGTTCTATCTAACCATGAGCATCGCGATCTGGATTGAAGGGACAGGTTAGTCTTCCTTTCCCTTACCGGTAGTATAGTATATGCGCGCTGACTGGCGTTTACAACCCTCTATAGCGGCGATCAACCAATTCAACTTCACGCCCATGAATTTCTACAACCTCGTCGGACCACCATCTTTAAAGTCCCTTTTCGGGATAATCCTCTTCCTCCTCGGCTCTGGAATCCAGCACGACACCCACGTCTATCTCGCCACCCTCAAGAAGTACACCCTCCCCACGGGACCCTTCTTCGATTCGCTGCTCTGCCCGCACTATGCCGCCGAGTGCCTTATCTATCTCGCGCTCTCACTCCTGTCGGCGCCCCGAGGAGTGGGAATGCCGGTGAATGGAACAGTGCTCGCGGGGTTGGTGTTTGTGGTGGTAAATCTGGGGTGCTCGAGTTTGTCGACGAGGGAGTGGTATATACAGAAGTTTGGAAGACATTCGGTGGAGCGTGAGTTTTTACCTCCAACCTTTCTAGCATTGCCGTGTCTAGGGATCTTTTACTGATGTGTGGATGATGGTGAAGACCGGTATAATATGATCCCGTGGTTGTTTTAGGTCATATCCTATGTTTCATGGCTTGAATCTAGGCCACCTGTAGACGATATCTTATTTTTTTTTATTGGAAACCATGAATATATAAAAAGACGGAAACCTCTTGGTCAATGACTGTAGTTTCTGGTCCTTAATGCAAGTAGTAATATTTTCTGAGTTTATGGGTTGACATTTGGGGGGACCGCATATGCCTACAAGGACCATCCATGCACATGGGAGTGCCTACTCATTGTCAATGATCGAAATTACTCGAGCAAAGTAAAATTGATAGAAAACTTCATTTTCCATCCACTCCTGGCGGCTGGGATACCCCCTCTCCTCCTTCACACCAAGTTACAGGACTATTACTCTCCAGATCTACCGCCATCAACATAGTTTTACTCAAGCCTTAATGAATCGTAAACATACATTCTATTCTGCATTCCAAATAAAAAGGCCTTGCAAAACGTGGCCTTGTGAATATTCAGTACTGCCTATCGGTTTTATGATGTTCTAGCTACTTACTTATAGGGTGGAGCGGGTGACGTGACACTAGAACGTTTAATAGATCTCGTGACTCCTATCACCAGAGCTGCTTTATCGAGCGCCCCAGGCCTTCCATTTCTCATCCATACGCCTCTATATCGTTAGAACTCTTCAGGGTACCAGAAGGAAACGAAGCTGGCACCGGGTTTCTTGTATTAGTCCAGACCTCTACGGTCACGGTGAAGGATACGGCAGATTTAACTTATTAATTTGACGTGATCGAGAGGCTGGTTATATGCTGGACTGAACTTGTAGTCCTTCACATACTAGATACTGAGTATTTATCGCCTTCGTTAGTAGCGGTGATACTTGAGGTACTCCATATCCCCACGGTACTGTAAACTAGGAGTGTCAAGGTAGAGGCTATTCTACAGCTTTGTTCAATTGATTATATTATCCATATACCAGCGTTTTCCGGCCCTCAGCCGGAGTAGCGATATGACGTGAACAGCATATATAGCTCTCACTTTGCTAATTGCAACATAAAGATCATAGGAAGCCTATAAACTTCCTATGTTTCAAAAGTAGAGTTTCCAATGTCGCTCAACTGACTCAAACAAACAAACAGAGTTGGTACCAATACCCGACTAACTGACTGAAACAAACATTATAGAAGGAAGGGTATAACAGAAACAGAAGAGAGGAAAAAGACTTCCCCAAACTGGCCAAGCATAAACTTTAAAATGCACATTGAATACTTGGTATCTATATCTATATGCTTCTTATTAGATGGTGTAAGACGCATTAACGCTTGAAAAGCGAATTTCCAAGATTAAATTTGGCAACTTTGAGGACATCTCTATATGTCAAGCTTGTCCTGATCTGCCGGTCATATCGACCATCAGCAAAGAGGTCCTTTTCTCCTAGAAGATCCCAATTGGCCACAGTCTCAGGACCAATATTCTCGTCTACTGTTTGTTGCGCGATTCCATGCAGATGAGTTGTATACATGTCATCCGTAGTAACCAAAAGACTGTGGCAAGAACAATTAGATTACCAAAGTTATCCCCGAGAGGTTCACCGAGCTGCTCGTAGGGGATGGCTGCGAGACTAGGGTTCATCGTACCTTCTTGGCTCCTGCAAAATTCTAAATTTTGCTTCACCCAGCCCATCTTCGCTCTTCTCAAACACTTCTAAAACAATCGGCGCTCCCAGGCTCACAGTTGCCACCATTGGATGATAGGCTGGACCGTCTTCATGGGCCATGATTCCTTCTCCGGGCTTGTACTCATTCACCAGGACATGGTTTGGCTGCTTATGAGGGGAATTGTCCCAAATACCTAATTCCTGCATGCGGGGAATTATTGGCAATTCAAGCCAGGAAGGAAGCGGCTCGGCAAGAAGAATATTTGATTTTGACAGAGCGCTGGGCCAGGTTTGGAGACGACGATGGGTGAGAATTGTCCATTTTGGCTTTGGGGCGGAGGCGATCTAAAATTTTGGGTTAGTGCAATGCGGGGTGCAGCGTCTACAGTGCCAGGGAAGATGGACAAGGTGTACGTACTTGTGAGAGCAGCTGTGACTCTTCAGAAGGGCTAATGAAGTTTGGTATGTAGTAAGTTGTCTTTGGTAGTGATGATACCAGAGCGGAATCTGGTGGTGTTCTTGAAGATCCCATCGTGAGTTTTGGGATGAGTTTTATTTATTTCTTCTTTCCGGTGTGTGGGGGGGAATGGGGATGCATCTAAACCACGGGAGGGGCCGCTTGAGTGACGTTTTGATCCTATCGGATTATGTATCATTACCACGACCCCACACTATCAGGGTTCGGTTTGCAGGGGCAGCTCGCGAATTGTACCTACCCTGAAGGGCTGTACATTCTTCTTTGCAGGATAAAAGAAATATTTGCTTGTCCCTCCAGGTACAATGACGATCTGCCTCCTGAAGGTATGTGCTTGCGAGATTCTCGATCCCTAGCAGAGCAAATTTGCTCCCATCCTCTCCTCTCGGGAACGCGCTTTCATTACAGGGTTTCTTTCGGTTATAATTGACGAACCCCACGCACTTCAAAAAGAGAGCTGTTTGTTTCTGCTCGCCGTGCCGGCCTTACCGGGTAACCATCCTCTAAAACTAAGGGCAGACAGACTCAAATGCTTTCCGCACATGTGTGTCGGATGTTTGACGATACCCCACCATTTTTCTCGAGAGCAGCTCAGCCACCGGCAACACGCTCTAATAAATATGTGAAATCGTTCAGCCGAGGATCCTGGTACCGGACAACAGGCTGCATGTTTCTATGGTTAGATAGACTTGGGTCAAAGATTTACTGGAGACGATGGGGTTTACATAATACGCCAGCTAAGCGGCATAGCTCTGAGATAGGCAGCTAGGAATAGAGCAAAACACTCAGAGGAAGAGGAGAGTATGGCTCTAAATTTCGGGGCAAGGGGCCCGTTATTATATCTCAAGTCCTGGAAGCTAGAAAAATAGGACGGCATAATTAATGATTCAGAGAACCTGGAAAGGAACAGTTGGATCCAGAGATTCGGAGATGGTAACACCGCCATGAAGGAGTTTCGAAGAGATCGGAAAGAAACTCAGCGAGGTCTTCTGGTGAAGTGGACAGATACCAATAACTGCATTTATCCTTTCCCGCATTATATGTAGCTTGTAAACTCAAAAATTGAGGTACGTGCTTAAGTATTCTGTGGCTTTATAGATCTGAACATAGTACCCATAATAATCGTATTATAAACACTGGGATTCATTTCAATAGCAATTATTTGATTCTTTTGACTTTCATACTTATGATTACTGAGAACAGTAACATGTACAACTACTACCTCCCCAGAGTAAATGTCGTATACTCTGCGCAATGCTTCCTAGTCTAGTCATGTTCTCACGAGAGAGCTGAGCCACCGCACTATTCCAAAAGGTCTAGCACGTTCACAATTAAGAGTGCTATCCCATGTTAATTATTGCAACGATAAGTGACGTTGGTTGCGATAAAGTGTTGTTGTGGTCGTTGTTGTGGCTCAACACCCCGATAAGGGCTTACCCTACCCCTTGCGACTGTCTTTATGTGTGGCTTTGCAGTCGCGCACACAGCGGCGCGCCCACTCACAGTCACCCATCGTCAACCTCACTCACGGAATCTTTCCCACAGACGACAATCAACATCAACAACAGCACTCCGACGACGACAAACCCGTTCCGGATAACCCTCCCCCTCCGACGTCAATACCTCTCGTTACTCGCCAAACCACACACTAGCAAGAATGTCCCAATTCGAGCCCGTGGTGAGTCTAAACTACCCATTCCGGAGCTATCAGCTTCTTCGAATTTTTACCGCTTGGGTGGTGGAGATGATAGAGAGAGCCGGGATTATATGGCAGGGTAGCCAGGGGACTACGGTGTAGCAGTTGCGCTAATGGGTGGGAATTTGCGCATAGGTCGTTATCGATGGCAAGGGACATCTCCTTGGTCGTCTGGCCAGTATTGTGGCCAAGCAGCTTCTTGAAGGCCAAAAGATCGTTGTTGTGAGATGCGAGGACCTCAACATCTCAGGCGAGTTCTTTAGGAACAAGCGTACGTTGCCTGCTTCTCCTTTTATGCATTTTTCCGGCAAAGGGTAAATGATAGTTTCAAGATGAACGGCTCAACTAATATCTTAATCTTCTACCCGTATAGTTAAGTACCACGCATACCTCAGGAAGGGTAACAGGTTCAACCCTACTCGCGGTCCCTTCCACTTCCGCGCTCCTTCCCGCATCTTCTACAAGACCGTCCGTGGTATGATCTCGCACAAGACCGCCCGTGGACAGGCCGCTCTCGAGCGCCTTAAGGTTTTCGAGGGTATCCCTCCCCCATACGACACCAAGAAGCGCCTCGTCGTTCCCCAAGCCCTGAGGATCTTGAGGTTGAAGCCCGGAAGGAAGTACTGCACAGTCGGAAGACTGAGCACGGAGGTTGGCTGGAAATACGATGATGTTGTCAAGAGGTCAGTGAACTCGAAATCTACGATTCTGGAGGAGGGATGTGGAAAATGGGTATTTTGGGAATATAGGACTGATTATTGGATGCACACAGGCTCGAGGAGAAGAGAAAGGTCAAGTCCAAGGCTTATTACGCCAGGAAGTTGGCTCTCGCCAAGAGGCTGGGCGAGGCACAGAAGAACACCGCCACCAACAAGGAGGAATTGGCGGCCCTCGGGTACTAGACGTGTCGCATATGTGTACTCCCTTAAATACGACGCGAATCGATTCCAAAAGTTCCCAGTTTACGAAAATCCGCAAACAAATTTTCTCATTCTTTTTTTTCGCACGTTTGGATTTTTTTTTAGGTCTCTTCTGCTGAGGGCATAGGCAGGAATAGAAGGGACTGTCAAGAAAATAAAAGTAGTTACAAGGTTCTAGGGATTCGGTGGGTTTGTGTTGCGGGGGTTATATTTGCTCTCTCTTCTGGGTACTCGGCGATTTTTTTTTTCTTTTTTCTTTTTTTCCTTGTGGGTATCATGGTGCGTATTAAGAGTCATGGGCAAAGAGGGTTTTGTGAATATCATCAGCTCTTCCAAACAAATGAAACCACCTGACCCGGAATAATTGGTTTGTTCGATTTGTAGCGATGGGGTTTAGAGGTTAGAGGGGTTAGAGGGGACTCTGCTAGGTCTGAGCTGAGCTTTGTGAGCTGAGCTGTGCTGGTACCCAAGCTGGTCTTGTGATTTCTTGATTTCTTATAGGCTGGTATTAATTTTACTTGATTCTCTCTTCTCCGCCTTCAATACCTGGGTGTCTCCACAAATTCAGCATCACAATCGATAACTCGGTCCAAATAAGGGAAGGTTCGCAAGAAGGAAAACGCTAAAGTGTATATTGTTTGTTTATACTTATATCGATTAGAAAAAACTTTTGTCCGGAAAATCATTACGCCGAGACACCATAGTAATAACCATTAGGAACCCTTCCTCGCCGTGTTCTAAATCGTTGACACTCAGTTCTCCTTCCATTTGTGACCGCATGTAACGCACTAATATTACATCATAAACGTCAGCGCACATCTGGTAGAATTGGACGACAATAACCCCCACCTTGAAGAACGCCGTCATCGGCTCATCAGCGCTTCTAATTTGCACCATGTAGAAGTATGCCTTCGTCCCTGTACAGTCCTCGCTCGGGCATTGCGCTGCGGTGGGTGAAAGAAAGCAAACACGTCAGTAAATCTAATGTTTCATAACTCCCTACAACTCGAGGTTTTCGGCCTGTCGGCGCGGCGGCGGATTGGGTGACGGAGGGACTAGCAGTCATACCTTCTGTCTGGTCAACGTTATCCCAAGCGCCCTCTCCGCCCATAACATCGTCGACTTCCTTCCGCTTCATGGGCTTGCGCTCATAGTATTTTCGCGTGAGGATGAATTGGTATGGGCAAGTGCGACACTCGAGACGATTGGTACCGGTTTCTGGGGATCGCGAAACCTATTGTGACTGTTAGAAATTATAAGTCTGATTCGATACCCAGAGCGAGTGAACATATTGGTTCTGGAACACAAGATAGGGGTAATTTAGTTACCGTAAGCGAGTTGGAACATTGAGGGCAGAATAGCAGCATCGCGACACTAATGTTGTACAGCTCGAGTATCTTAACAGCTTCCGTCAGTCAGAGTTGGGAAAGAAAAAAAAGCTCCCAGGATCCATTACTTGCCAAGCTTTATCAAACCCTAACCCCGCCTCACTGCCCCACCACTAGCGTGATACGCGCCGCGCTTGTCCACAGTTCACTCCTGTTTACCTAGAGTAACGCGGCCAAAGCAAGCTCTCCTCCTTTTCTGTTCCGCTCTCCTCCGGTTTTGCATCAAACACTTTCACGAGCTCCATTTTACTCCCAGCCTACATCAAAACACTCGGAATTCTTGCGGTCATGGCTGGAACTACTACTGTACACGAGGACGAGGTATGTGGCTTCCCCTCCCTCCCACAAAGCCGTTGTTGTGAAGAGGGGGGGTTCCCTGGCCTTTTGGTCCCTAGGTTTCGGTTCCTGAATTTCGTCACTAATAATAAGGATTAAACAACCATCCAGGGTGCATCGCCGAAAGAACTTCTCCTCGAAGCTGCCCGCCGGAACAACGTGGACCTTCTTGAGGAAGTCCTCGGAAATAAAAAAGTGGATGCTGATTTCCTCAATCACTCTACCGATGGGGTTGGAAATACCGCCCTGCACATGGCTGCGCAGCACGGATCCTGTTAGTTACTATGACCCTTCCTCCTTCCCCTTCCCCTTCCCCTCCTTTACCCCTCATTTGATAGGTTCTAATAGCTTTTTCTCTCCAGTGGAAGTACTAGACCATCTTCTCGACCAAGAGGGCCTCGAGGTAGACCCCATAAACCGCATGGAACAAGAGACCCCACTCCACAAGGCGGTGCAGTATGCGAACAAGGAAAAGGAGCACGGCGTGGAGGTTGTGGAGATGTTGATTGATGCTGGTGCCGATCCCAGGTTCGTTGCCTGTCATACCTTACCCCTGCATTCTGTGCCGCATTTAACTATTTTTAACCTCACTTGGGGGGAGGCGGGGGGGAATTGGTTTCCGTTTCGGACTTGAGGCTGACAATGGTTGGATAAACAGGATACGAAACAAACAAAAGCAACGACCAATAGACATTGTGGATCCCCGAGACACAAAGCTCAGGGCCATCCTACAGAGGGCAGAATACGCTATGACTGTCGGGAACGATGTTGTAGATGATGACGATAACGACGGCCCGGCATCAGACTCGGACTAAACTTATTATATCCATAATAAGGAGGTGTGTTTCCTAGTGCATAGTTGTTTTTTTGTTTTTTATTTCCTTTTTATGGGCTTGTATTTTTTTGATTTCAAAGCCTGTTGTCGGTCTTTCGTTGGGTCTCTTTTACCACGCTAGAGATTTCATATATCACGAGTGGGAGTATGTTTTAGTTTTGTTTTCTCAATTTTCTCCATTATTTCCTATTCTTCCGGGGTGATATCATGCTGTATTAAGAAATTCCGCCTCTGCTCTTTCTCGTCTTAGAACTTTAAACCGTGGACTCAGTATATGGAGCTCCAACCAGAAGTTTGAATGGTGTATCTATGGGTATCTGTGACGTTTTAGTCAAGTTAGAAGCTTCTAGATTTCTGTGTTTAACTGTAAATTGTTCTCTATAGAGACTATTTACTAATACTAGCTTCCATTCTAAATTTTGTTTCAAAAGGACTAGAAAAACCGAGGTATGATGCTATAGCTAACATGAGGTCTTGGAAAAAGGCCACAAAATACAATTATGAAGGCTAAAGCTCAAGAGACTACTGCGTATCGTCTTTTATCATTTCCTTTATATTATGTAATCTAGCTAACTTTATCAGTAGTAATTATTGTCGAGTGATAATCCATGAATGTCAGCCATTTCAACTGTTAGTGTCCTACACACTCGACGGAAACATCCTCTCTATCCACTTAGCCCCTTAACTCTCCCTACCTACTACTAAGAATGCTTGCACAGTCTTTTCCCCAAGGCACATCATGCATATTAGACGGTGCGGACTAGTGACCTTTGCTTTTATCAACGTTTGTCCGTGTAAACACCTAGCCTCGATCGCATCCAACCAATTGCCCAAATTGAAAATAATCGCTGTAACAGAGCCGAGATGATAGCTTCACTCGCCTAGTATCAGAGATCCATGGGTAGGCAGACTTGTGAGCCTCCTAACTTGCTAGACTTTAGAGGTGATTCGTCGCTGGGAAATACGTGTAGTCCTCTCACCCCCGATTTCATGGCGAGGTAAGACTCCCTTTGACCTCTAGAAAGTACGAAATAGCCCAGAGGCGGAGAGCTGGACGAAAGAATGCCCCCATCATACAGCCCACGATAATTCGTGTATACTTCGACCACCTGCAGACCAGAGTCTATTCAAGGGGGCAATCTAACGAGATTTCATCGGAGCTTTGATGTCCCGTCCCAGCCTTATCTTTATATCGAGAACGTCTTTTGTGCAGAAAGATTCTTTGCCCTAAAAATGTTTCGCTAGCCAGCACCAATGCGTTTGTTTTCTGGCAGCACTGTACCAAGGAGAGAAGTCCGGACGCCAGGCGGTGCACTGTTTATCCTGTTTGTTAATAAATAGGCGCTGTCAGTGGGCCTGCTTGGATCGCTTGAAAGAGAGCAGAGTGAGAAGGTGGTTCGGAAGCTATCGGGTAGCATGTTCAACCTTTTTCTTTTAAAAAAAAAAACGAAACCTTTTGTTAGCCAGCTCTCCCCTCGCTCATATAACCCCGGGGCATACACACGAGATATAGGGTTTCCTAGAGGAAGCTGTAATCTTGGGCTATGCCCACGTACGAACTACATATCCCCTCCGAAGCAATATTGTAAGTGCGCATGTATAGAGACCCCCCACAGAACCAGTGCAGATAGCCTGCATGTGTCTGTCAAACTCACATCTCTATGGTGGTACTTGGAGAGGTAGGGTTCTTGCAGTTGCCTCACTCCCATCGGTTCTCAAGAGGGTTCTGCCTATGAACACTGCAATTAACGGGAGCTTCGAGAATTCTAGCTTCACTGTCAGTGGTTTATCAACGACGTAGAGCGGGGTAGGCAGACTACGAACTATAGCCATGCGTGAGTAGAGTCTCAGTGTTGGAGAGATCGATTTCCTAGGCCGCCCCGGAGGTTCGTTAGTGTGATTCTTCATGCGTGCACCGGGAGGGTTTTACGAGCCAGCTGTTTAATTCCGGCTGTCCCGGACTGCTCAATAGACCCTTTAGCAAGCCATGAAGATTCATCTCCCACGAGTGCTTGGTCAAAACGGTCTATCTGTTCATTTGAGACCAGCGCGGAGGAGACCCGTCAAAAAGAGAAGACACATCAACGGGTACCTCATATTGTACAATAAATCAAAAGTCATCACCCCACCTTAACGTAATAGTCCCAAAAAGTATTAATATTTGGACGAAGATTATCCTATACTTTAGATGAACTTTTTCGATACCTCCTTATCAACCCATCGAGTGATCAACCATGACTACACCACCACCCCACCACCCCAGTCATCCCGCGATAACACACCCGCGATAAGGCCGTGCGTGCGTCCGACACTTTCGCTTCCTCTCCTCATTCCCCCTCAAATCTCCACCATGGATATCATTCACTTTGACAGCTGTTAATTATCCCGCTCGATGCACAACGGGACGAGAGCTAATTTTGTAGGTCTCAGCCACCCGTCAGTTGTATTTTTGGTAGTACAGTTGATACATCACAATTACAACATCGTGTGGATAAGGCGTGCTTTGGTGGGAGGCTAGCCGGGATTCCTTATGTTCTAGCTAGCTACAGGTACTGTATGTACCCTTGAGCCTCCCCACCTTTCTTGTTTACTCGGTTACAACGGGACTCACAAAACATCACTCGCTCTTCCCTCCCTTCCTTCCCTTCTTCCCTTCCCTCTCCGCGGCCACCCAACCAGACACACACAAAGCCCACCGAAACATGCAACATCTTCCCAAAGTCAGGACTTCCCCGCCTCACCCGCCGATCCTCCCAGCTAGCTACTCTACCGAGCAAGCCACCCATGCCATACCATACTATATCTGAAACATTTCAAGCCCCTACTCCCCAAATCTTGACCGGCGAGCTATATAGCTAGAGTATTAAAGTGTAATCTACAATATCATTCCTCGCAGGGAGGTGATTGATGCTGGGGTTAGGGATCAGTGGCTAGAGCTGTGGAAACTAGAAACCAACGGTCACAGCTAGGGTACTGTATATTACGTATATGGCGCTTTATTATATCTGGGGTTCTTGGACCGTGAGCCGGTCTATAGGAGCGTGGTAAGGTCAGTCGAGCGAGGTCAGCCCAGTTGATCTCGTGAGGTCGGGTATACAAGCTCAGTCTGGTTTGCATGTCCGCTCAGGTCAACTCAGTCTGCGCATATCCAGGACTCAGTTATACAGAGTTAGCTTAGTCGGACGAAGTCAACTCAGTCGGGAAGAGTACAAGCTCAGTCCGTTTTTCATGTTGGCTCAGTCGGACAAAGTCAACTCAGTCCAGTCTGAACTCAGTTGGGTGGCGTCAAGATTGTAAACTGACACCTTGATGAGGTGAACTTAGTCTAGTATGAATGTCGACTTAGTTGGATGGATAAGCTTAGTCGCGTAGACCTTAAACTTAGTCGACCAGATCCCTTCGTCTGTTCCCGGTAATCACAACATGTTAGGCCCACGACGGCGTCGTGATAGACAAAATTTTAACGAAAAAGAGTATACTCCACTACCTTTTAGAGAAAATTTGCGTGACAAGTGGGTCCATCTTGCACCGCCAGCTGACATTTGCAGTTAGCTTCTACAATTTGTATTGTGAGCCACCAATCGCCACATGTCGTGAAAACGTACGAAGGGATAAGCTCAAGCTGAATCGGACAGATAAGCTCTGTTAGACGAGGCCAGATGAGTTTCTAAATCGACTTAATTAAACGACAGGCAGATCAGTCAGATGGGGTCAACTCAGTCAAGTAGAAAACTCAGCCAGAAAGTCAAACTAAGTCGAACATAAAAGCTCAGTCTAGCAGAGAAAGCTCAGCCAAACAGTTAAACTCATCCCAGTCCCAACCAGCTCAGTCGGACCCAAACAGCAACACTTTCGCTGGCTCAGTTGAACAGGTAAGACCAGCTCAGTTTGGGTCATATGTAAATAGATTGAATCAGTCTGGCAGATAAGCTTATTTGGACGGCAGCGGGCTCGGTTTATTAACTGACTTAGTCGGACGGATAGGCTCAGTTGGACGGACCAGATCAGCCGGACAGATATCTATACTTAGTTGGACAGATACGTTCAGTTGGACAGATACTTGATGTTTGGTTGGACAGATATGTTTTAGTTGGGCGGCGACAAGCTCGGTTTTAAACCAACCAGGCAATTGCAAATTCAGTCGGACCAAGGTTAGATCTATCGGATTAAATGAACTCAGTTGGTTGGATACAATCAACTTCATTGGCCTGCATCAACTCAACTCCGGGTCAGTTGAGCTTAGGTCAACCATATCCTCGTCTGTCCATTGGTCGAGGTCAAGAACACAAAACACGACAGTCCTGTCCGGTCCATCACATCCAACCAAACCCCATACCCGTCTGTCTATTGGCCAAGCACACAATTCAGCAGCAGCTGCTGCCAGGTCACGGACAGTCCTGTCCAGTTCATTACATCTAATCAAACTCCATAAACCACACGAATCACATCCCACAGAAATATTTATTTTTGAGTAGAGTAGATAGAGTACACATCAGCCCCTCCCCCGTCCCATCTCCCATCCCCCATCCCCCATCCCCTGTCTCCTCTCTCCCTCCTATATTCAATTCCAAAAAGGTATATGTATATATATATAATATATGCCCGCAACACAATCATAGCACACCCTCATAACGTGTCATAAAACCTCCAACTCCCCTCTCCTGGATCCCGCGCTATCGTAACTATGCATGCATAAAAAGAACCAAGCAAGACGCAATAAAACAATCAACCAACAGCAAAAAATACCAAGCGCAAAAAAAAACTCATAAAGCAATTGAGGTATAGATAGATAGTTTACCGCCCAGTCCAGTCCCGGCCACCAGACAAATAAAAAATAAAAATGAAAAGCCCGCTCCAGCAAAAATGATGAACAAGACGATGATGACAATGACGATGACGATAACGATGATGATGATGCCAAAAATGCTCCCAAGAGGAAAAAAAATAAGCCAACACTAGCTTTTCAAAAATAAAGGAGTATAATAAGTATGTAGTAGTTGTAGTGGTTGTAGTAGTAGTGGTTGTAGTAGTAGTGGTTGTAGTAGTAGTGTTGTTGTGGTAGTAATAGTAGTAATAGTAGTAAGTATAAGTAGTAGTAGTAGTAGTAGTAGTAGTAGTAGTAGTAGTAGTAGTAGTAGTAGTAATAGTAGTAGTAGTAGTAGTAGTAGTTGCAGTAGTAGTAGTAGTAGTAGTAGTAGTAGTAGTAGTAGTAGTAGTAGTAGTTGCAGTTGTAGTGGTTGTCTCCCCTACATTTAAAGAGTAACGTAGCCGCCAAAAAAAAAAAAAAAAAAAAAAAAATAGAAGAATAAAAACAAACACGAACCCACCCATGATGACGAGATACCAAGAAAAATTGGCTTAGGGGAAAAAAGAAACCCACAGTACATAAAGCAATTGAAAACCCTTTGATAAAAACCCTTCTTCGAGGGGGAACAACGACCAATAAATAGTCAACAAAAAAAGGAAATCCACGGTATCATGTACACATACGTAACATTTGCTCAAAAAAAAGAAACATATCACCCCATCCCCCATCCCCGCGATCCAAACAGACATGATAAGTATGAGAAGGATGGCAACCCAACCGACCAACCGCAAACCAAATAGAACCAGACCCTCAAACAAAAAAAAAGATGGGAAAAAAAGCCAAGCGATAAAAACTAAACAAGAAAAAGCGCCAAAAACACCCGCCCAGTTTTATGTTTCAATTAGAAGTAGTAGAAGCAGCATTTGTCGCGTTAAGAGGAGTGGGTGGCGGCATAGATACTGTGAGTTGGGAAGAAAGAGGTGAAGGCGAGGAAGAAACATGAGATTGGTTGTTGTATTGGAGCGAAGACGATGTCAATGGTGTGCCAAATAATCGCTGCAATCTCTGGGCCATTTCCTCCTTCGTAATGGTAGGTGCAGAAGTGGGAGTAGTTGGCCCGTCCCCATTGACCTTCATGGGGGTTGCAAGGACAGAACAGCTTAAATCTACGTCGACGGTGCGGATTATTTGACTTGCGAGGTTGGCGTATTTGTGGTCTTCCTGAATGATGGTGCGGAGGTCGTCAACCTATTCCATAGAAAATTAGCATGATCGTCCTAATTCTTGGAAAGTTTACATACCTTCATCCAAAAGACAGGAGACATCTTCAAGAATTTTTCCCTCTCCTCCCTACGTGATTTCTCCAATTCTTCAATCGAACGGTGACCGCTGAGATGTACACTCTCACAGAGCATGACCGAAAGGACTGACCACATTCTCGACCGATGCTGGTCATCAACTTCACGTCTATGAATGTCAGGGTCTAGTGATTGATTTGTTAGCGCAATGCAAAAGCTACAAGAAGAGGAGTGCAACGTACAACTCGAAAACTGAAGGTCAGTACTTCCAAGCACTAAAGCTGCTTGCACATTCAAGATGTACTGCTGCGGCTTTTGTGGCCCACAACCATTCATACCCGGTTTGATTGAAGTTGAGTTTGCAGTTGATTGAGGAGGAAGCACCGCGGAGTATAAAGGCATAAACCTTGAGCTCTCAACAGGTGTATTGCTTTTCTCCTCTATCTCTCTAAGTGCGAAAGGCAGGGCCCTTTTCCGTGCAAGCTCACGCTGCTCTTCGTCCTCAATTCGTTTACGCTCTGCCGCAAGCTGCTGCTGTAGTAGCTCGGCCTCTCGTCGAGCTAAGGCCTCTTTCTCAGCTCGCTCAAATTCTTGGCGCTTACGAGCCTCCTCTTCAGCAAGCTTCCGCTCAGCCTCTGCTGCACGACGCTGATTTTCAGCCGCTTCTAGACGCTGTTTTTCGGCTTCCTCTTTTCGGCGTTGTTCTTCGGCAAGCTTCTTCTGTAGTA